TGAATCACAATTTTTCTGATTCACACCCATGTCTTTTCAGTTCTCATCTAATGTAAGGAAACCTCTGACCAAACTCTGTAGGGGAAGATTTTCCATTTCTGAACTGCGTAACAAAATATTCTGTGAATTAATGTACTGTAATTGTTCAGGACTGAGCAAACAAATTAGTTGGTCCACAAAGAAACAATGAGGTCACATATCACAAAATTGCTCTTTGTTCTAATGGCATTGAGATTATTTCATATTGCTGCTGAGGTGTTTAAAAAAGCAGTGGTGTTAAAAAAAAACACCACACTGAGATGTTTTTAAAAGGCCTCCCATTTTCAACACACCACCTTCCCATAGCAGTCAAGCAGAATTATTGAATAAATTGCTGAGAGATCACAGGTTGCCAGAAACTATGAAGCATTAATCCTTGCTTCAGTAGTGCTCACAAGGCTTCTCAGAGGCCATTCATGAGTCTCTGCTTGACTTCTTTTTTAGACTTGGAGGCAACATCACTGAGCCAGCACCATTCAAAGCCACTCAGGTGGAAACCAAATCATACTAAGAACAATCTCTTGCATGTTTAAGATATTCATCCTGAATTACTGGCCAGATTTTTAATTTAAAAAACACAACACAACACAACATCAGATAATAAATGTAGTCCAGAAACATAAGGTTTATTACTAGGCAGAGATGAAACAAAGGTTGATGTTGCTGGAACTAGAATAATTCTCTTTACTGTTAAACTATTTTCAGACTCACAGAAAATTCTTGGGGTGGAGAGAGGAAAATGAAGAGTCCAGATTTCATATCCCCACCTTCAATATTTATACTTCAGGACGTCTCTATAGTCACAGAATCAGAACTCTAATTTTGACCAGAATGTTAATAGTGGCAGAGTCAAAATAATTCTATAGTTTTAGAGATACAGTAATTATCACAAGCAACTTTAATGTTATAGGTGAAAACATTATTATTTACATTTATATTTATATTTATACTGTTTTCACCAATAATGCTTGGGTAGAACTAGCACAGCTACCCCTTCTACAACTGCAACTTTAATTTTAGACATTCCACAGTTCTATTAAGGTCATTCATCTCCAGACATATATCGATACAACAATATGCTCCTCACAATAGGTTTCTAATATCAAAAGTTTGAGTGTGTCTCTGTAGTATTTATCCAAATATAGTCTATGTTACATCATTCCAATCCCAGTTCCAGTACTGCACATACATAATTTTGACATCAGATCTTTGTACAGCTTCCCTGAACACCTTTCTCTCTCTTTTTCTTTTTCTTTACTGGGTTTTGGAGACAGTGCAGGTGCAATTCACAACTGCATATCATGATGTACAAAGAAACATGAGGTCTTCACATCATATAAACTATGAACTAATCACCAGACTTGATCTAGATATTTGTAAGCCAGCGGCTTGCCTTTTTTTGTCCTCTCTTTCTTTAGAAATCCAATGCAAAATAGAGACAATGACTCATCATGCTTTTTCCCCCCCAGAGGCGTTTATTCCTAGAAGCACCCCGGTTTAGTCCAGAAAACAGTTGTGTGGCCTTCTGTGGGTGTTCTTGCCTTGAGTTTTTTCTAGTTTCGTTTGTTTATTTTAAAATTCAATATATTTCTATTGGCATGGGCTTGGGAGTTGCCTGGTCAGGAGCATCCCAATTCCCTTCTGTTTTAGGGCCAAGAAGTGAGACTGGGAATTGGCCACTCTCATGTCACAGAGGCGGAGCAGTGAGAAGGAAGCTTTCTTCCCTGAGCTGTGCAAGGCTGTTGCCAGGTCTTGTGCTATAAGGGGGCTTCAACGTCCATGACACTGGTGCTCCACTCCTCTGTTTGCTCCAAGTGAAACAACGGGTCCGGCAATGGGATGCCAAGAAGACAGAAGTGAAGGGAAGGACTGGGGAGAGAAACCGCTTGGCCCTTTGAAGCAACACACACACACCCCTTCACTTACAGTCCTGGAGACAGCTGAAATGGCTGGAAGTGGCTGCTCATTCTTTAAACCCAGTTCATATACACACACAAATTCTCCTCAGCCAGTGCTCACTCTGAGAATTGTCTCCCTCCCTTGAAAGCAGAAAGAACATAGTTCCTTCAGACTCTGGCCAGCACCCTGAGATAGGGCTACAGTCCATGTGCTAGTGGCCACTAGCTATTGTCCACCATTCATGGACATGATGATGCATTTGAAAGCAGTTTAGTTAAACTCAGGGCCAATTTTCATTGTGAAGAAAATCCTGCCACATGGGACCCAACCTGGATTGTGATCCTGACCCAACTTGTACCTGTTTCCTACTGAAACTTTATCTGTTGCTTTTCCCCCCCTGAAGGTGCTGATTTCAATATCTTTAAATAAAGGCTACCTCATTATTAGTACATTGCAAATGAAATGCATGTTCTGGAAACGATACTTCAGGTGTAAACAGAAGGGCAGAATGAGGTTTTCTCCTAAATCTCATATTGTCTTTTTAATACGATTACTCCATTAAACAGGTCACCATCAATTAGTAACACATTTGGTTTTGTTTTTACCAAAAAACTTGTTTAAAGATGCAAATTTCCCTGGCAGGGCAAAATAACCTGTTGGTTGAGGTGATTATGACAACAATAACGTTCAACACCATTTGCTCTCTCTTGCAGTGCACAGATGGGGCTGACTACATACGAGGCTTGCTTGTTTTTCATCTGTTCATTGTCGAATCTGAAAGAGGGCTTATTGACAGAACATGGTAACGTCTGCCATTTGCAGATTTGCGCATTGTAGTGCTTTTCTTTAAGGTTATACAGGCATAGAGAGGAGGGGAGCGAAGACTGAAACTCACAATCTTGTCTATTTCCTCCCCCTGTTATATGGCATGGCAGTATCTTGAGAAAATATTTTTATTTTGTTTGCCCACCTCTTTGGGCAATTGTGTGGAAAAAAAGTTGGGGCAGCAAACACTGACAGGTAGATCACCCCACTTTTTCAGTTTTTAGTCCTGGAAATACTTGAGAAGGGTTGGTGCACTCCCCCCCCCCTCACACGCACACCCTAAGAATGAATACTTGAGAAGGGTTGGTGCACTCCCTCCCCCCCCTCTATCACACGCACACCCTAAGAATGCAAATCTAAATACAGTTGTTAGTTCCAACTCAATTATATCCATTAAGTCCATAGGAAATGTTCAAGTCAACATCTTTGTTTCAGTGAGTCAGTCTAGACTCATACTAAAATTTAGAACAAAGGGCAACAATTACACCTGAATAGCAAAATGAGAGGCTAACCAACGTCTTACACAGACTGTCTATGTGTTACTCCTGCAATGGTCCCCTAACAAAACTACACAGATTTTCCATTGTACACCTTTTCTCTTCTCACAACATCTACCCGTTCTTTCCACCAGTTCTTCTCCATAGGGATATCCATTCAGTGCGCTCTTTTATGCTGCTGCTGCTTGTACATAGTTGTTGTCAGTCTTTATGCTCACTTACCAGGCCTCAAAGAGAATCAGTAGGGGTATCATAGCACAACTTCCAGTTATTCCTGTTTTTAAAGACATGGCTGATCTGGAATTTTTTAGCCTTGAGTTCTCTTGCTTGTGAGCAGGTTTCAGCAAAGAGGAGGAAGAGGAAGGGTGGGGGGAGGAGGAGAAACTCCCATGTGAATCTCTATTCCTTGTTCAGAAATCTCTATTCTGCTCAAGACCTGATAGTGAGGTGAACTCCCTTTACTGGATGGTTGGCTGTCAATTCTGAATATAACCTCCAGCCTGCAGATTCTTTTTCTATTATTCTGTAGTAAGAAAAATATTCATACTACAATTTAAAATTAGTGTGAACAATCCACTTCAAGTGAAATAAACTCTCTGCCAATGAGTGAAGTGGGAATTAGAAGCATTGGCAAAGTACTAGCTAGATTATTCATTGACTGAAAGCACTCATATCCTGCATTCTCATGGCTTGGCAAGTTATTATTTGATTGGAACTACAACTCCCAGAATCCAAGTGGGAAATTCTGAGGCCTCTAATTCTACAAAGTACTTTTGCCAAACTCTGCTGTTTGGCAGGTATGCAACCTTTCAAAGCAGTTTATAGGCTTGTAAGAGCAACAGTAAAAAAATAATAATAACAGAAGTGGATGAGGATAAGTCTACTGATAAATCCACCAGTGAAACTACACACCCTGAAACTCCACTGAGAGAGGGTGGAGGAACACACCTTTCATTGCATTGCAAAGATAACAGAAATAACAGCAGGTGACCTTCCCTGGGGAAGAAATTCGAAAGGATTACACTGGCACAGAGATAAAAGGTTTAACACCTGTGAGATCTGTTGGCTTGGATTCAGGGAAGTCTGAGAGAAAAAGGAAAATGCATCCATATTGTTTGCTGAACTCTTGTGCAAAATGTTGCAGAAGACTTGATGCAATGAAGCTTATCAGGGTTTGGATCTGTTCTCAGTCATAAACCACACTAGATCATCTGGGGCTAATCACTACCTTACCTCATAGGCTTGTCCGAACAATAAAATTGGGAGGGGCGAGCTAGCCGATCTGTTGTGTCCTGATATTTTTTTTTTTAATCATGCATGCTAATTTGAGCTCTCTGGCCTATGAAGTCAACAACTGCTTGGATTAAGATCTAATTGTGCTATGCTTCCATACAATCTCAAATGATGGTTTTGCATTCTTATTTCTCATGATACGAATGAACGCACATGTCCTGAGTCAAAGAAGAAAAATTTCTGTTTATATGACAGAAGAATACAGTATTGTCACCTACTCCCGAAGCATATATGGTGCTTTCCTCAGCACTAACTCAGTTCCATTTTTTGATCTCTTACACAGAAATGTGTGTTCCTCCTCCCCTCCTTTTCTCAACATCACCTCTAATACCACATTCAATTTGCTGCCACAGTAGAAAAACTGCTCACAGATTAAACAGATTGCGAAAATCAAGCATCACCACTTTTTCCTTTCAAAATTATTAATGATGCAGATACACAACTTACCTTCAGGCTCGCCACAGAGGGTACACTGTGATTCTGCAAAGCAAAAAGAGGGAAAGTCATCAGTAGAATCCTCTGCTAACAGAGATCACTGCTTTTCAGCTTAGAATGTCTGCCCAAGATTCTCCTGGCTGACTGTCGCCTTGTCTAATATATTATATCTCAGACAACCAGTATCAGTGGACAAGCCTTCTTCCTCTTTCTCTGAGAAGAGAAACAACATGTACTAATTCAAAGTAAGAGGATGGCCAAGAAGGACAGGGGAATGGCAAGTGTGTATGTGTGATGATATACAGTTTTATATGCATGGAGAAAGATGTTGAGATCATGATAACACATCCATCTCTTCTGTGCCCCTGATGTTCATGGAGTGATCAGAATTTCTGCACACGAAGGCTCAAACAATGAGATAAATATATCCCATTACACTAGCATACACACCATACGGTTTGTGTCTGTACACACAGACCATGAGGTGCTTGGTCGAGTGCACAGGTGATTCTGTTTCTGCCGCTGTGGTCCCTTCTTCTCTAAGTCTAGAAAAAGAACTGTACAAGGACAGCTATACGTGGAGAAGGGGACTGAGAGAGAGAATGTGAATAATGATCTGAGCTGAGTTGGGGTGAGCAGCCTTTCTATGTAAAAGCTTTTAATCGTGGTGCAGAAGTGGGAATTTCAAAAGCTACACTATCCTCGATCTTAGCCAAAAGGCTGAGAAGTGAAAAGATACATTTTTTAAAAAATTTTTTGTAATGCTGCAGAAATTCCAAATTTTGTAGCCCAAACCCCCTCATCTTTAAAATTCTTAAAAATATGTGCGTCCAGATGTGAACTCTACTAAAAAAATACAAGATTTCTGGCAGTGGGGTGGGTAGAGGGTAGACATATTAATACATTATAACAAATATAGCTAGATTAACACATTTGATGGGTCATAGTTCATAACCTTAAACCCAAACACATTTATTTGGGTATTATTCCTGGCACTGATGAATTTCTGTACAGCCAGACCTGGTGCTTCCCACTGTGACAATTTCCAGAGATTTTCAAAGAGATACTGTAGGTGTGTTATTTCCAGAGAGTTACCTACATTAGAGCACTGCACCAAAGCCATCAAATCATCTTGCGGCACAGGGATACTGCCGCTATTTAATTTAAGGTTAAAAACTGTATTCTCTCTTTCTGCCCCAAATCTGCCCTTTTCATAGGAAATGCCAAACTACTTCCACTGCTACTATTACTCTATTGTCCATAAAACAGACATTGTACTGTATAGAATGTCAGTGAATGACTTAAATCCCAGCTGATAGAGAGAAAGCTCTCTCTCTCTCTCTGTTAGACAAGCAGAACACAGGAGAAGGGAGACCATCAGGGGTTTAAACAGAGTACTACGAAGGGAATGAGGAATGTGATGAGGCAAGATTACAAGAGGTGTGCTAAAGCCAGGGTGGTTCAGCAAAGCTCCTACGGAAAAAAAATGATTTTGAAGGAAGCATTCAAGATGGGAAGCAGCCTGGGTCCAGAAGTATCACAGATTCTACTGTGGGCATAAACTGTGTCTCTGCAGATGGCATAGGAAGGCACAGTATTATTTTGTTCACTCTGGGACCTGGATTATACATTCCAATATAAGAGGTGGTAGAAAAAAAACCCTGAAAATGGTTCCCCTGTCTACTATTTTCCATCTTTCAAATATATAATTTTTAGCAAGTGTTACTTGTTTTCTATCCATAAGTCTGTTTTTATTTCTCTCTGCTAAGTGTTGTTTTTTTTTTTTAAATGGGAAATTCATTTCGCTTTTGCCTGGAGTCAACCCATATATTTTTTTTCCCCTTAAGGAAATAAGATTCTGATGAAGTGCTTGTTTCATTCAGATAACACTTCACTTTATGACTAGACAATCAGTTGTTCCTAACTGGATGTTCTCTTCTATGCCTTCACCTTTCTCAATAATAATGTTCACAATCTTTTACTTTCACTATTGGAATTATCAGCATCATCTGGGGGTATGTATACAATATCTGCTATGCTTTTGGACTCCACTCTTAAGTTTATTGCTACTAAACACATATACAGGATACTCCTATAATCCTACAGAAATCAAATGAAGGCATTTTATAAGCAGGTGCTTCTACAATAGGGGTAGGCAGAAGAAAAAATGGGATTTACTGGGGGAAATTGTGTCAGAAAGGATGCCTTGATTCCCTATTCCACAACATCTGAAATTCATATGCACAACAATTGTGTGGGTGTGAGTGCATGTGCACATGTGTGCATACTCTCTCTTTCTTTCTTTCACACAGAAACAAATCGCTATGAAAAAGTATGTATGATGGCCAAAGAGGAGTAGATTTTGGAGTGAAGGAGTTTGTGAGCTTGGTGCTACTACGATCACAAATCCCTGGGTTGAAGCTCAGAAACGGCTTGCTTCTTAATTTGTAGTGTATCTCTGGCTGTTCCTTTGTCTGATGGCACTGCAGGTTGTAGCAGGGAGGGAATCCAGTAGATCCTGCCTCTCTGAAAATTACCCTCCTCTGCCCTATTATTGTTTACATCTCTTGGGTGCCTTTTTCTGTGGGGAGGAACCCCAATCAGAATGCTTGTAATTACAATATACGTACAAACATTAACAACAGAAACAATAAAAGCAACATGGCACCCAACATTTTCAACTCTGCTGTTCCACAAGACAGCCTGTCTGCAACTAGCAAAAACTCATGTAGCTAAAGTTGTTAGTGTGCATATAACACTTCACTTTATGATTAGAAATCATTGACTAATTGGTGATTGACCAATGAAGCTCTTAAAATTGTTAGTGACTGGTGAGAAGCAAGAATAAAAGATAAGAGAAACATTGTTCAGAACCCTAAATGCAACTTCTCGGCAACAGGCACATAGGGGCAAAGGGCACTATTAGAACTTTTTTTGCAAAGAAATTTTAAAAAAGAACAACTTAAAAAATTATTATCTGTTATTGCAGAAAAGCTAAGATCATCCAAACTATGGTATTCCATATGATAAGCTGTGAAAGTTGGTTAACAAAGAAAATTGACAGGAAGAAAATAATTTGATTTTGTGATGTTTGAGGAGACTGTGACAGATTCCATGGACTACCAGAAAGACAAAGATTCACTCATTACAAGCAAAAATAATGAAATCAAATCCACCCTATTTTAGAATTACGTTGGTTGGTTGGTTGGTTGGTTGGTTGGTTGGTTGGTTGGTTGGTTGGTTGGTTGGTTGGTTGGTTGGTTGGTTGGTTAGTTAGTTAGTTAGTTAGTTCAGTACAACAGTGGAACCAATTACCTCGAGAGGTGGTAAGTGCTCCAACACTGGAGGCATTCAAAAGAAACTTAGACAACCACCTGGCAGATATCCTTTGATTTGTATTTCTGCATCAAGCTGGGGTTGGACTCAATGGCATTTTAGGCCCCTTCCAACTTCACTATTCTATAATTCTATGATTAGTTGCTTAGTTAGTTACTGCATTTATACACCACCCATTTAGTGGCAAGCCAGTATTCTGGGTGGTTTTTACAGTACATGGTTATGGAAAGCAGGCTTGAGGTTCAAATTGAAGATAAGATTCATATGAAAAGACAACAATGCTATGGAAAATTGAAGGCAGTAGGCAAAAAATGTTTAAGAATAAAGATGTGTGCTAGAGTTACTTCGCTAAAAGGAACAGGCATAGCTGTAATAAGGAAGCGGAGAAGCAAAGGTGTGTAAAGGCTCCGACTTAATCATAGCACTGGGGAATAGAGGTATAAATCTCGTGAGCAACAGAAGATATCTTGGGGAAAACGTTTGTGTATTGGGAATTCAAGCTACAGCATTGTTTCCTTTGAGTCAGCGCTGTCTCAGCATGATTTCGGCAGCCTGCCTGCTGTTGGGAAGGGCCATTTCTCAGCTGAGAAGTAAAACAAAGGCACTGATCATTCACAGTAATTAAAAGATGTTGCAAGATTTCTTTTTCTAAGCAGCAGTGCTTAAATAAACCCTCAGCGTGACAACTGTTTACGTTCGGCAAAATGGGATTCCCAAAAGGCACATTAAACTTCCAGCGTGCTTCTGGAAGCACATTAAATAAACCCTCAGCGTGACAACTGTTTTGGCAAAATGGGATTCCCAAAAGGCACGTTAAACTTCCAGCATGCTTCTGGAAGCACCAACCCTCAGCGCCAGAGAGTAATACACCTTTTGTTTTGCCTGTGAACCCATTATCTCCTTACCTTTAGGCAAGCCCATGAGAAGGGTTCCTGTCTATCAAAGCCCTTCTCCCAAACTCCACCAAGCCCCATCTCAGGGCATCAGTCTCCCTTCCCTCCACTCTTTCAAGACGGGCCAGAGCTTGGGAAAATTACCGTTGTGGACTAAACTCCCAGAATGCCCATGACTCTAGAGCAGTGGTCCCCAACCTTGTGAACCCCAGATGTTCTTAGACTACAACTCCCAAAAAAACCTGGCCCCAGATGTTCTTAGACTACAGCTCCCCAAAAAAACTGACTCGCACCATCCAAGAACATCTGGGGGTGCAAGGATGGGAACCGCTGCTCTAAAGGATCAAACATTAGCTGTGGAAAACAAAAGAGATGCACTAACGGTTCCCTTCCACTTTGCTAACGCTTATGTGTTCAAGTTAAATTGCTTGCATTTAGAGGTTAAGGCTGGTTACTCTTTTAGCTCAGGTTTCCCCTGTTCAGTCCTTTCTGTGATAATGATACTGCTCTGTGAACTGGGCTTCTTTCCCAGGTGTTCTGATGGGAGCGTTCCTACTGGCTTCTCTTGAAAAGAGGCCTTCCACAGCTCCCTGTTGAAAGGGGGTACCTGCTGTTTTTCTTTCCTTCTCTCTGACAGTTTCCATCTCCTGGAAGACTGTCAGAAAACCTCTCCGGTAAACACCATTGTTAGTCTATTTATTTCATTTGGCCTATTTCTCCTTGGCCTTCATCTTAGCAGCTAAGCACCAAGGGACTGTAAGCCCTACAAAACAGCGCTGGTGCCACCGGAAAGTCCCGGCAATTAGCAAGTGCATC